TTGGCGGGTCCGGGCTGGGGATTCGAACCCGCCACCTTAGGTGTACGTGGCTGGCACCTTAGCCAGTTGAGCTATAGGCGCCGAGCCACCTGTGGACAATTTAAGTTCATCTCAGTGAAACTGATTTGAAACCTTTGACCACCAAAACTGTAAAAGAATGTGTGTGTTGCCTTAAACTCAAAAGTTTGTGGTAATTTATTATAGTGGCAATATACTGCCACAGTAATTTATTATAGTGACATATACCACCAGTGACTCAGGAAGGAAACACAAGGCCCCACTTGCACCCCAAGAGTTTGATCCAGAAAAGCCCAGCAGTCTCCGGGGTGGGGTGGGAGACCAAGAAGCTGCCTTGCTTGGGTGGTAGAAAACTAGATCTGCTACCCAATGAGGAGCCCGAGGGCCAGCCATGCTGGGTGCAGCTTCCATCCCCTTGCCCAGCTAGTGAGGCTCTGGCCAGTGTCTCCTGGTGCCTTCTCAGCCTGGTGCCCCCCTGGGCTTGGGTACATACCTCTCTCAAAGCCCAGGCCACACCAGCCTGGGCCACACCAGATCTCTTTCCAAAGTCTGCCCCAGACTTCTGAGGCTTTAGCAGCATCTGGTGGGTCTGGGTCTCAGGCCTGTCCTGCTCTGTGGGACCAAGGCTGAGACTGCTCACAGCTCCAGTATCTTCCCCTCCCCCTGCCACGTGTGGATGGGGTAGCATGTGTGTCTGTGGGGTGGGAAACATGACTTTTTCAGAACCCCACCCTCCCTTACATGGGAAGGAGAGGCTGGGTAGGGAGTTCCTGTGTGTGGTGCAGACCTGGGGAGGCTGTAGCTGTGGCCAATGGGGGGACAGAGGCTTATCAGGCCTGACACAGGCCCCACCAAATGATGGATGCAGGCTCGAAACCCTCATGTCTCCTGGGAAGCTGGGTTCCTGGCGGCATACTCCTCCTTCCCCTGGCCTAGTCCTGGCTTCAGAAGACACCTGCCAGGCGGTCAGGAGGTCATCACAGAGGAGGTATGGGGTGAGGACAACAATCTGAACAGGGTCAACATGGTCAAGCCCTGGGCCCCAAAGAGCTGGCAGAGGAATGAAGGACCTCCCCTGGGACCTTCTTTGCCTGGAATAGCCTCAAGCTGTGAATGCCTTTGCCCTACCCACTGTGTACCTCCTGTCCTGGCTGTGGCCTCCCAGCATCCACAGGGGGCCTGGTGAGTTGGGGGTCGCTGCACCTTACACCCATCCCAGGTCCCTCTAGTTCCTGGCCCTGGCTGCGTTGCTGCTCTGGGCCGTGTTGCAGGTGGCCAAGTGTGGGCATAAGGCGCAATCCTTCGGTATCTGTGCTGGACTGGCACCCTCAGGCAGGGGCAAGTGAGGATTGCTGCTGCTCTGGGGCTGGGCCCTGGGTCATAGCAAGAGGGAGTGTGACAGTAGTCTATGTAGGGAGGACTCTGGGCAGTCAGCTTTGAGAGGGCTGGTGGGGATGATGGAAACACCTTTACTTTGCAGCCCAAACATCTGAGTTCTGTGGCCTTCATCCCTTGCTGGGGAGTGTTGGTCCTGGGAATGATTCTGGGGTAAGCTCCCCTTGCCTTTCCCCTTCCCCACAGCCCAGGGGTCAAGGAGCACAGACTGGAGGTCAGAGCTTATGTGTTTATTTAGCAGGGAGGTGGGGCTCCATCAGCAGGACAGCCTGGTGGATGGCTCAGCACACAGGGAGAGGACTCTACCAGCTCTCACTGGCATTGTGGCTGGTGGGACAGCTGGCAGCACACTGGACAGAGGGAGACATTGGAGAGAAGGTTGGAGAAACAGGAGGCATCTGAGAGGGGCACGTGGAGTGAAGGTGGCAACAGTGCTAGGGCAGGGGAGGAGAAAAGGCAGGCCCAAGCTCCCCACCCTCTGTACCCCGGCCCCCTCAGCCCTCTCCAGCCATACTCACTGAGCACTCAGTCATCGATGCACTGGTCTGTGGGGGGAGAAATTCCATCAGAACAGGCAGCCTGTGCGTGTATGTATGTGTGCATGTGTGCAGGCATGCGTGGGTGTGCATGTGTGTGAGCATGTATGAGAGATCCATGACTGCCAGGACCTTTGCACTGCCTGTGGGCAACCTGGACCCAGTTGCAAAAGATCTGGGGAGTCCTTTCATGGACGGGGCAGCAGAGAGGCCACTGACAGGGCAGGGGATGCAGGAGAAAGACCCTGGGAGACACTGTTCTTCTGGGGAGGTAAGTAAGGCTCGGCCACATAGCTGCTGTGGCACCCAGGCCTCCTGCATGTTTTCCCTTAGGGAGGCTGGTGGCTCTCTGAGGGGCCTGGATGGAGCCTCCTGCCCAGGCCAGGCCTCCTAAAGTCAAGGACATTGCCCAAGTCAATGATGAGCAAGACCCAGGGCATGGAAAGGAGGTGGGCCAGGATAAGGGGGCCTGGGAATAAGTGGAGGAAGTGGCCCAGGGCAGTGAGACTGGAGACACTTGGGCCTGGGTCTGGTTTCTCATCTGGGGGGGTCCTGGAGAAACTGTCAGGGAGGACCACTTGGGGCCTGGAACCCTGGGGGAGGAGCATGGTCTTCCTAAACCCAAAGTGGCTTCCAGGGAGCTCCTGGACCATCCACCCTTCCAGTGACTGAAGCAGGGGACAGAGTCTCTCCTCTCCCCCTTTTCCTGGTGGAGCAGCATCAGGCCTGGAAGGTCCCCATGTACCCTCTTCCCAGCTTGCCATTACCGACTGGGGCAGGGAAGATGATGTGGTTGTCTGTGAGGCCCAGAGATTTGGCGAAGCGGATGAAATTCTCCTTCAGTCCATGGGGCAGCTCCTTAGTTCTCCCTGTGACCAAGGTGGCCAGTTGAATGAGTGAACAAGGCCTCAGATCCCTTCTGCATGGAGGGGCTGTGAAATGACTATACCCCTGGCCACCTGGGGCTCTAGAATGGAACCAGAACCGGTGCAAATGAGGTCAGGATCCCAGTCCCCTATGGGGTGGAGGAGGACCTACCATAGAGGGTGGTCTTGAAATATTCCTCGTTCTCGGTTGCCTTCTTGAAGAACACTGTGGCATGCTGGTCATAGTTGGTGGCCACCACCTTCACGGTGTAGCTTTGTATTCTAGGGTACCCTGCAAGTATGGACAGTGAGGGGTCAGCCTTGCCCTGGCTGGGAGGAGGGAGCTGTCCCCTTTCTCCCAGCCCATCAGCATGGGCTTCTCCCCTCAGAACAGCACCTGTGTAAGGGGCCAGGGATGTCCATGCCCCTTTCAGAAGCACCCTGCCCCCTGGAGCTCCACTCCCAAGGCCCCACCTCACTCAGGACTCACGCTCAATGTTGCCCAGGGTGAACTGGCCCGGCTGGGAGCTTGGGACAAAAGTTCTGGTCCAGTAGTCACAGTTCCCATTCCTGTGGAAACAAGAGATGGGCAGTGAGAGGGGACACAGTGCAAGCTTAGACCTCTGGGCTGGGCGAGATGGGGGTTGGAGCTGCAGCAGGACTCAGATATCTCCAGTCCAGCCCAAGTCATGACAGCCCATTCCCCATTGCGCAGAGTTCTCCAGGCTACACAGCTGAAATGGGCCCGGGTCCCTTCCCTCTTCATCTTCCCTGACTGTCCTTCCTTGTCCAATGCCCCAGGCCACTGGATCCTGCTCAGACACTCATCACAGTGCCAACTGCCCTTCCCTCCTCCAGCTGCCTCCCTGGGTGGCCCTCCCCCCACACTGTCCCCTTCCCCAGCACTTATCCCAATTCTTATCTAGCTTTCTCCCTCTCTGCACCTGGGTGGTGGCTCTGCCACTGAGGTTCCCGACTGCTTCATTCCAAGTACTCCCCCAGCTCTTTGGCCAAACAAGTCCCCTAAGTCCCACCTGTTCCCTGGCACCCCAGGGCTGAGATCCCCAACCTACCTTTTCTTTTCTTGTCTCTCTTTTTTTTTTTTTTTTT